GGGGGGGGGGGGGGGGGCGACTCAGTCACCTTGGATGAGTCATCTAACACGGCTCAGCACTTCATACAGAGACATATTTACAGTACAATACTCCCTGCCTCCCCTCTCCCCTTTTCTGTTTAGTCAAGCATCACGACACACACTGTGAGTGTCTCCCTGTGAAAGAAATGTCATGGTGCGCAGACACAAGCACAAACTGGATAAAAACAGCATTTAATTTCATTTCCCATCTCTACGAATTGGCTTGTTATTGGATTGAAAGGGTGCCCTTGACCAACACTGCTGTGACTCGCTGCAGTGAGGATGTTCGTCATCCAGGCACAGAGAAGCAGGGTCAGGGGGTAAAAAAAGGCTTGAAATGAAGATGTGGTTGACGGCATTTGATAACGGTGCTCTCAGTACAAAAAAGGAGTGTTTGCAGCCTTACTAAAGGACAGGTATTGTGAGGACAGTTTACTCTGCTAATGGCGTCACCGGCTTCCTGTTTCTTTGAGACTTTGGGGTTTTAAAGGTGTGACGTGAAGCGTTGTAAAATATTTTAATAGTCGGTGTAAGATTCTCAAATTATACCATGGTGGATGATTCCACTTGTTTCCTAACCAAGGACTGACCTGAGGCCAGAGTTAGCCGTGTGCTCATTATATTTTGTTTAACCAGGTCTGATAGATTAGGGCTGTATTGCGAGGTCCATCAGGTTGTTTAATACTGTCATATTCAATCATCATAATCATCACAGAAGTTGTTTTTTGACATGAGTGTGAAATATTGCCACTGCCTTCAGATCAGATGCTTGTTAATTGGTGATGCATTATGCTGCTGCTAGTTTTGGTGTTCTCTCTCCCTTTAGTTTCGGGTCTTATTATCCATGGGTCATTTTGGATCAGCTCTTTTGTTGTAAATTACTTTAAATGGGCTGCTGAATTTCTATAGTGTTTTTATCAAAAGCGTACAATTATCCTCTCATTCACACACACACACACACACACACACTCGAACACTGATTACAGAAAGCTACCGTGCAAGGTGCTGGCCTGCCCATCAGGAGGGCTAAGTGTCTTGCTCAAGGACACTTTGACAAAGGAGGAGCTGGGTATCAAACCAACCCTGTGGAGCAGCTCTACCTGCTTTACCCCAGCACAGCGTTGTCCATGGATCTCTCTGTGAATCCATGAAGACCCATAGTGATAGCTTCTATCTAATGCTAGTGCTATTACTTGTGTTTTTCACATTTAAACCATATTTCCCATAAACATGTTTTGGCCAGCAGTTTCACACTCATTCAGCCCCACCAACCCACCACTGGACCTTTTCACATTTTATTTCTTGACATTTTTAAAGGGTGTAATTATGTTTTCTTTTTTTTTACACCAGTTAATGGAAAATATACTTGGCTCTGTATGAGAATACATGAGAATGGGGATAATATGATGAAAATAAAAGAAAGGTACCTTCACACTGGATTCTTTTTTGTATCTAGCACCTATCCCACCAAGGTTTTGTGGATGTACACACACCATTACAGTGTGTGCTAATTGCAGACTTTACATGAAAAGGTGACCCTAGTTCAGAACAGTTAGAGTTAGATTAGAAGATCAATAACACATAATAAAAATAATAAATGTTTTAAACTCCACAGAAATATGTTTAGCCTGTATCAAGCAGGTGTTGTTCTATTGGAAAAATGAACCTATCCACATTATACTAACTAACTCATAACTCTTCATGCGGCGTCTAAAAAGCAGGTTGAGAAGCAAAGAAGAAACATAAATCTTTGGATGTAAATATTGCATCTGTGACTCTCCTCCTCCCCCAATAAAAGGTGGAAGCTGACTCCCCCATAAACCACGGTTGACAAAACGACTCATGTGTTTGGAAATCCTCTGGGAAGAGTGACAGCGAAGAAAAAGGGCTGTCTGTATTACTTCACTGCATAGATCACAAACCAATAACAGGGCTCATTTCCCTCCTCCAGTCCCAGAGGGTCAGGGGGGTGTTGCCGTGGTTAAGCTCCAGCAGGAGGAGGCATGTTGGGCCATAACCCGCCTGATGACGCAACCCTGTCTGTCTCCACAGCAACTGTCCTCATCTTATAGACAGACACTTACACAGTGTATAGTTACACTGCAAGACGTTCTGGAGGCACCACTCGAGCTGAGTGACCCTGAACACATCGCTGATACATCACTGGTTCATCACAACACACTGACCCATGTTTCATTTCTTGAAAAAAAAAATTTAATTATTAATTGTAGTTGCAATAGCAGCAAAGCTAGGTCAGGAGAAATACTAGTAAAAATATTTTCAAAAATAGTAGTACTAGTTTCAGTTTTTTTGTTTTTAGTTTCATTTTTTTCATTCCTGAAAATAATGAATTACACTTGAGTACATGAATACTTTACATTTTTTCACAACAGAATATTACAGTTTTTACTTAGTTGACGCATGGAGCAGCCATCTTGGATTTTGAGGGTTGGTGATTTGGAAATCCGACTTTTCCGAAAATCTGACTTCCCATTTTAAAAGGAATACACCATTACATTTGGGTACTTGTTGTTATATATGAACAATGACTCTGAAAACATTCTACTCATCAATTTAGCATAGTTTGCAGTTTGCACTACTTCTGTCATCATACTTTATCTTAAAATCTCTCCAAACTGCAGACATTGTTTCTCCTCTGCCTACCTGCTCAACTGAGGTGAAGTTAGTGTCACGTTGTCGTGAAGTGGTATCGGGTGCAGTGTTACCGGAGTAGTACAGTATCGTACCCAATACCGGTATCTGTATCAGTGCAGTCAAATAATGTTTTAATTTATCTTGTATGTTAAACTTCACAAGTGACTCATTTGATCAAACTTGTTGCCAAAAATATTCTCTTATCATTGTAATGAAATGGACAAAACACAACATCAGTCCAACAAGGATCATTTAATAACAAAAATTATAATACAAACAAGTTACAAATAAAGAGCAGACTAATTTCTGACCATGTCCAGTGATCAGGCAAAGAATTACCACCAAATAACATTTGCATTCGATAATCTTGGCCATTAGAAACCTGAGCTTGATACAAAATGTCATGAACCGTGTGGTAAAAACGTATGTTGCACAATGATTAGGAAGCATTACAAAAGGTAGAGTGAAAGAGTATAAATATACTGTATGTACAACTGATGGAGTAAATTCCTTAATGCAGAATCAGACAGGTGCCTTTTAGCTCTTGAACATTTTCTTCTGTACAATGGGGAGTTGTAGAAATTGCTTCTGCTGCGTACTCAGTGTCCATGCATTAGCAGGGACATTAAATGTGTCCCCTGGCAACTTAAAATTATTTGTTTCTCCTCCCTGCTTCTCCCATGCTGTGGTTTTGTTTTTCTTTAAATGAAATTTAAATGTAAGAAAAGGCGAGGAATTGCTGAGTCAGGGTCCCTCAGGGTACTAGTCAGCAACAGCATCACAACATTAGGGGAAAATAAGAATTATTATTATCATATTCTGCTGGCGACCACAGAGGATCCTGATCGGTCAAACTCCATTTAGGCTTTCATTTCAAGGGTCACAGGTTGAAGGTCAGGGGTCATTGTGCAGCAGTCACTAGGAGGGAGCGTCTTCACCGTGTATAGCCTTATACTTGGACATCTCCTCTGGAAATACTTTGCTGAGCTCGGAGATTAGAAGACTCTTGAATTTCTGTAATAAAGGAAAACAGAACAGCAGAGGCTGGCTTATTACTGAACTACCTCTTATTTTATGTTGAGGACCAAACTTGTGCCTAGGACATAGTAACTTAAGATCAGTACACTGTGCTTTGCCATCTGCAATACCAAATAACAAAGAAATGTTAGACACAACTGAATATATAATAAACATATCAATCTACTGAACTACAGAAAATACAGCACTGTGTCCAAAAACAATTAATTTATCATGAGTAACACATATCTTTTTAAGAGTTCCTAAATATGCTTGGGAGCATTTAATGAGTGAACTAGTTTGCTGGCTCTGTTTATTCTGGCGGTGTCGTTGGTGTGGAATCTCAGTGACCCTGGCATTATCTCTTACCGTCATGGTGTCAATTTTGCCTTTGACCTGCTCGTTCCTCGCCAAGGCTCTCTCCAGACATTCCTTGGTGTACAGCTGAGGGTTTCGACCTTGATCAATGTATCTGCAAAACACAAGGCATAATATCAGTATAATATAATATAATAGTAGGGCTGCACAGTTCTTTAAAATATAATCAAATATTGCATATCGCAATTTGACCAAGGGCGATATCTAAATCGCAAAAGGTGCAATTGTTTGATAAAGGTAAAATGTGCGACTAAACAGCACTACAATGAAGAGATGCCATGGCCCTGCCTGCCTAGAATTCTTGTTTTCCCCAACAAATGTCAATGTTTTAATAGGTTGTTTTTTTTTCAGAGAAAATCTAAATTGTGATTTTAAAAAATGATTCCCACTAATTATATCACACTCGCAATATGTGTCAAAATAATTGCAATATGATTTTTGACCATATTTAGCAGCCCTGGTCTTTTAATTTGGTATAGGATGTACTTGTTTCAGCAAAGGCTTTTATTCAGCATTCCTTCACCCAAATACAGGACAGAGAGTGAACCAATTCTTACATTTTCAAATGTTATTTATATATCTGTTTGCCGAATTTTAAAATGGCTCAAAACAACACAGAATAAAAGTCATATGAGGCATTTAACATTATCATGTTTGCAGATATAGAACAACAGTATAAAAACGGCAGATTTTCAAATGGAGTTTGGCGTGGGTATCGCAAAAAGGATATGTAATCTATCAACACAACAAATAGGTGTGTTCACAGTAATACAACAATGACAGAGAGCAGGAGAGGTGTAAAGAAAACACATGGGGTTAGGTTAAAGCACAACAATACAACAGCTATAACGTTACTGGACTCACTCAAACACCTCCAGCGGTACGTTGATCTCATGAAGCTGCTGACGGCACTTCTCGATGTCCTGTAGTCCAGATATCATGAAATTTCTGAAAATAAAATGAACCGAACAGGTAAACATAACGCTTTGTCACAGACTGCTGGCGTTATAATGTCCTCAGTCTAACATGACTCACAGTTTTTGGTTGAGTCCTGCTTGGCTGCTAGGCTGGAAGTCGCTAACGATGATTCCCAACTGTCGAATATTCTCGATAAATTTCTCCAGATGCTCCTCCAGATTATCAAATTTTTCCGCCATCTTAATTAGCTGTTGCTCAACCACTCAAAGTGAACAGAAACGACTCCGTTCACAAGAAACCTTCAGCCAAAAAATCGCTGTTTACTGTTAGCCACTGACTCTACGACAGTCACAACGCCGAACTGCTTTACGGGAATAAAATAGCCAATCGCTGTCGGTGCTGTTCTGCTACCTAGGCAACAAACAATGACAGATTGTCGTTAACTGACGCTAAGTGTCGTGCTGCCAGTTAGGAAGAAGCTTCTTTGTCAAGAGCTCAAAATGAAACGAGTAATGGTGACTGCATCTAAACCACTACTGTACACTTACTACACCAAATGTAAACGGCCTACGTATTTAAATCACATTGAGAATATATATTATGTCATTTGGAAATATGTGCTATATCAGTTATGGTGGTCTATCATAAAAGAAATCTACAAAAAGTGCTTTACAGGTTGTTTCAAAGCTAGCGTGTCTCCAACTATATTGTGTTATTACAATGTCTGACTATGTGGTTAGTAGAGTAAATATGCATAGTTGGCACAGTATTTCCTTTCTGCTAACTTACATGTCATGAATACTTTCAAAGACAATACACGCCATAAAGGAAGAGTCTGTGTCACACATTTGGGTTATTATCTACAAACAGCCTAACTAATAATTCATTAATAATATTTCCTTCATGCTTTACTTAAATCATTAGCTGTTTGGAATTGATGTTGTAGATGTTCTCAGATAGTTAGCTGTTGTGTAAAATGTTTTTTTTATTTTTTACTGTTGAGTAAAAACACTGCGCTGCCTCATATACTGAAAGATATCTGAGAATCTATGATTTCTACAAGAGCTTCTATGAGTGTGGACAGAGTGTGATTTTCCATATAAACTGTATGACTGTATTCACTTTCTGTACTGTGTCTGGATATGGATGTTTATTGTAGTATATTCTGTGTGAATAGGGTTAAGTTTGCACCTATGAAATCTACTTTAATGTGAATAATTCATTTATTTATGGTTGTGGGCTACTTAAATCTTAAGTCGTCCAACATATTCAGTAGCCTAATCAAGGAAAAGGAGTCCAAATAGCCTATATGTTCCCACTGACCTCTAAAACAATGCTGAACTTTGCTCACAGCATAGGGTAACTTTACATGAGGTAAATTTGAGACTAAAAGTGAAAGTGAATGTCAATGACGTTGAGAATTTGAAATTACAACTCTGACATCTTCCCCTTTCTGCCTAAACACAGAAACACCAAGCTAAAGTAAGCCAGGACAAACCAGGAAACAAACTATGAACCTTCAAAATAGAGGTCATTTGGCACCTTGCACAGGCCAAGGATAATGTCCCTAAATCTAAATATTTAGGAACTACAACAACTGTTTATGTGTGTAATAGAGTTTTGCAACAGTTTATGGCATAAATAGATGTTTTCGAAATAATGACACTGTAGCTTCATCAGGCTATTATTGTCCAAGTAGTGTGGTGGAACTGCTCTTACTGTTGTAACTCATTTAGTTTAATTTTTCAATTCACTCTTGGGGATGTTTCCCCTTGTCAGGAATGATATTGTATTGTGTTGCTTGATGTCAATTTTCATCATACAGAAAATAGTTATTAAATTGTGGACTAGGGTCGTTTATTGGAAAAGGCAATATCTTAGCTGATTTGTTATCATCCTTATTAATTACTATTGTAGGTGCCAACTGGACAATGTCAATGCTGTAATTTCTCCATAAATGTAGCTATTTTGGCTCTTTGGCTTGCCTCGAGTGTAACCTAACTCCGGGGGCTTTTATTTTGAAAAGCTTCCGCCGCTGAGGCTCACCGGTGAGAAGAGACTGGCTGAGGAGGATTACCGGGGGCTGCTTCGTCCTCGGCTGCATTAAAGCTGGAGCTGCCGCCGCTGCACACACATCGAAGGCTCTCCTCCTCCTCCTCCTCCTCCTCCTCCTCCTCGCCGCAGCTCCCGCAGACGGCCGGGCTCCTGGATGGTGGAACCGTTTCGTCTCTTTACACACAGCGGGATCGGGATCGGTGTCCGGTCTACACAACGGGACATAAAACGGACGTACTCACGTAGTTTCAGCTGTCCACGGTAAGCACCGGGCTGCCGCTGTCGGATTGCTGGTCTAATACTGGGTCTGTGTGGGCGGGAGAGGACACATAAAGGACCAATGATATTCTCATGATGAGGACTGTGTATGTTGTGGACGCATAGGGGTCTTATAGCGAGTACACCTGGCTTTATGGTATTTTAATCCTCTATAATGATATATTCTATAGTGTTTGGCAGTAGCTTATTGTGTATATATCATTATAGACAGTTTATATTGATCTCAGTACTATTTATATCCTAATTGAATCTGCTATAGCCCATGTTTCTACACTGTTCCTATACATTTCCTATAGTAGTCTAGTGTGTTATAACAACCCTGGGATGCGTTAAGGTGTCTTTTCCTCCCATAATCTTCCTTCCGGTGTAGCCAATGGTTCCTGCTATGATCCTGCACTATAAACATGGTGTTATGTATCCTTGAGTAAAATGTATTACAGGATCACCTCAGTGCTTCTGCGTAACGCATCGTCCTATCATGGAACAACTGCAGTCACAGTCATCACGTCGGTCCACTTGTGGGAAGGGAAAATGACTGGATTCCATTGATCTGTTTTGACATCGCTGTTTTGGTGATAATAATCATTTCAACTGGCATTTATTTGTTGTTTTCCTGTTTTCACTCCAGTCGAGCCGTGTCGAGATGCTGCACTGAGGAGAAAACAGCAGAGGCTCCCCCGGTTGTGTTCATCCTGAGGCTGCAGAGAACGGAGGGGGGATTGCGGTACAGCAAGGTTAATACTCAGCACCGGTGAAAGGTCTTCTCTGTGAGCGGGGACCGACTCGAAAGGGTGATTCTTGCCCCTGTGCGGGGGGATCGGCGGAGAAATAGAGATCTCTAAAAAATTATGGCCACCCTACTGCGGAAGATCGGTCTAATCCGCCTGCACGACCGAGACACCGAGGACCCAAAGCACCATCAGGGCTCGTTAAAGGGGACCAAAGGGAACCAGAAAAATAACACCAACAAACACTGTCAGACCGCCAACGAAACCAACATCCTGAGCACCCCGGAGATTAAGGCGAGGAAGCTGGACCAGCTCGGCAAGGACAAGCCGTCCGGCAAGGATAAGCAGGGCAAGGATGCGAAGGAAAAGCAGCAGACGGGGGGAGGCGGCGGGAGTAAAGCGACCAGTGCCTCCTCGATACCACCGCTGGCGCCTCACCGGCAACACTGCACCCAGGTCCGGACGCGGAGGCTGATGAAGGAGCTACAGGAGATCAGGAGGTTAGGGGACAACTTCATCACGGTGGAGCTGGTGGAGGACAACCTGTATGACTGGAACGTCAAGCTGCACCAGGTGGACAAGGACTCGGCGCTGTGGCAGGACATGAAGGAGACCAGCACCGAGTTCATACTGCTCAACGTCACCTTTCCCGACAATTTCCCCTTCTCGCCGCCGTTCATGCGGGTCCTGACGCCCCGGTTGGAGAACGGCTACGTGCTGGACGGCGGGGCCATATGCATGGAGCTGTTGACCCCCCGCGGATGGTCCAGCGCCTACACGGTGGAGGCTGTCATGAGGCAGTTTGCGGCCAGCCTCGTAAAAGGACAGGTGAGGGGAGAACGGGCCGGTGGGTGAGGGTTCTTGCATGGTGTCTCATCAACCATACGGGCATGTTGATCATCTTTCGTGCGTTTATTTTCGGCACTGGATATGAGCAATTCAGCGCCGTGCGTAATTAACGCGTGTCCACCATGGCGAGGCTTTTAGTCTAACATGGATATTTAAATCACTGTTTCGTGTAACACAATTGGAAAATATGAACGTGTTGTTTTGGTAATTTCATCTATTTCCAGTTAAAATCAACGTATAATTATGACTTTCTTGAATTAAAGGTCATTTTTGGACACTAGTGGTATGATCTCTCGAGACAAGATGTTTATAGGAACATTCATATGTGTAGTAGTATGAAATAGACCCCAGTGGGAGATTTCTTTTTCAAGAATAATATAATTTTATATAAGATCAAATCATTTAATCAAAGGGATGTTTTTGCTGCTTCTAGCCTCTTTATAGCATTTTCCATGCTCAGAGTGAGCTATAGGTGTCAGGCCTTCTTGTCTCCTCACCCCCCACCCCCTCATCCCTGCTGTGAGCAAAACCACGATTGTGAATATTAATAATCTTTATGTGACTTTACGGCGGCCATTTCATGCAGTGCAACCCTCAGTATCTCCTTGATGCCAGCTCTTCTCTGCAGTCTGGGTTTGCTTTCCCTTTTTTTATTACCTCCATAAATCAGCATCCTTTGACAACAAAGACCCACTGCCATGCAATGGAAAAGTCCTCATTGCTGCTCTAATGCAGTCTCACTACATCTGTACTATCAGATTATTATAAAGGAGGAATAAGACAATTATTAAACACATGCGCTGATGGATTGAAAGACAGATGACTAAATAGAGCCACCAGGTTGCCTACCTACCAGCAGTCCTCAGTGACTTACACTGACTGGATTATGTAATCCTGTCAAATCTGTTTTTTACATCCTCATTGTACTGCAGCAGCAGCAGCTCTGCAATTCCGATGGAAATGGCTGCATCTCCAAATTCACTCCAGGCTATAATCGTTTAAACTCTGAATAGATTTTCTTTTTTCCACTAATAAGAATCAGAGTTTTTTGTTGTCACATGGTCACTTTTGTGTCATTTTCCAGTCATTTCATCTGCAGAGTCTGCTGCTCACTCCTCAGCGACCCTCTGTCTTTTGACGTCAGCAGTATGACAGCGCTGTGACAGGAGACCTTATGTAAACTGTCACCGGATTCTCCTGCCCAGCCCCCAACCCTTGGTGCTTTTTTTATCTTTGATGATATAACTGAACGTTATTTCCGAGTCATCTGTGGTCATTAAGCATCTGTTACCAAGTGAGGTCATGCAAAAACTGTACCCACAGCAGAGAAAGAGGAAGAGTGTGTGTGTGTGTGTGGGTGAGTATGTGAGTGTGTGTGTGTGTGTGTGTGTGTGTGTGTGTGTGTTCATCTTGATTTGCTGCTTGAGGAGATGAGCTAGCAGCTCTGCAGTGCTCCCTAATTATGGTGCAGTGTCTTCCTTCTCCAGTTTGCTAATGGAAACAATATTGATTAATTATTCCTGTGTGTGTGCATCTCTTTATCTCTTTGTTTGCCTCTTTTATGGATATGTGCCTACACAGGCGCTTGCATGTGTTTCATGTCCTAATTTTCTGGGAGATGTACTCGTCTCTCATGCATTGCCACAATTAGAGCTACACAGAGTTATATATACACCTAAATACACTGAATATATTTACTCGCCCTTGGGCAGCGGTTCACTGTAACAACAGTGGTGTGGCTCGTTTAGAAGTTGATTCCCTATTTTTAGTGTGAGAGGATACATGCAGTGACAAAGTGCTGAGGTGAAAGTCAATAGAGCTACACGTGTCCTCACCTGCAGATGTGAGAAAACACACACACACACATACACTCACATGAGGTAAGGTGATAATTTAAAATCAATGAACAGATCAGCAGCATGGCCGTCAGATACCTAACTTCCAATTTTAAGGATTACTGTCACAGTGTAATGTAGCTTGTATAACTGTGAGTTTTCATCCCATAGTGCTGTGCAGTTGTCTAGTGTGAGGAAACTCAGTGTCATGTTCGATATAAGTGCCTTTGTAGTGTGAGCCAGTTTGGTATCGTTGCGTGTGCAGCAGTGTGTAGAAAGTTCACTTTAAATTTATAGTCCATGTACTACTGGCTATAACATGTTCTTCTCTTCTTCTCAGTTTGCCCTGTAGGCACGTCTTACTAGACTTCTTTGCAAACATTTCTTCACTAATCATTTCTGTAAAAAATCTGAAGAATCCCACACGGTGTCAATCACTTGAACTCAACGTCTCAGTTTTCAGACCTTCATCACGTAAAATTCAGCTTTGTTGTAATTGTTGGCTGTTCTTTATTCATTTGAAAATACAAACTTGTTAAATGTAGCTTGAAATGACTCGCTAAAAATGACACCCAAAGTAAATAGATGTGTGTGTTGCAAGGTGACAACAATTTTGATGATTGACTCAAACTTATAAGTAATTTATTAACCAACTGCAATCACACTGTCTAATTTGCTGCTTTTATCAATTTCACATGATTGAAAATGGAATATCTTTGGGTTTTGGACTGAAATTCAGACAAAAAAAATGATGTCTTCTTGGGCTCTATACACTAAACTCATTATATGTATAGTATATACTGAATAATCAATTGATTATAAAAAAATGCAATTGATGCCTCTTAAATGCTCACTTCTCTTTAAAACTTCCAGTTCGTAATGCAGACTTTCTGTTAAAAATATGTAGACTCCAAGCCCAAGTTGTGATATCCCCTGATGACATCATCAGAGTTATTTTTTTCAGCTTTGGAAAGTTCTGATCTTAAGGTGTGAAAGTGGTGGGGTTGCCCCTTTAAAGTTTCCTGTTTTCTGTGGTAGACTTGTTCCTTGACGTTCATGTTTATACTTATACAATGATGAATGGCAGCAAAGTGCTCTGCTGAGCGTGGGCAGATAAGGGAACCTGGACCAACGGCACTAAAAAAAACAAAATTGATATGATCCTTCAGTGACCCCGCCATGAGTCCCATGGGGCTCTCCTTAATTATCTGATGAGGATGATGATGACATTGATCCCTGTTTGTTTATCCCATCCCCTTTAAGCACATGTCTGCGTTATGCAATCTTCCCCCCTCCCCCTCATCCCCTAGAGCTGCTTCCCAACATGCACTGGGGCCTTCCATGGTCTGCCCATTGACTGATCTCCATTCACACGATTACCCAGCAGCCACTTTACACGAGTGTGTACCTCTCAATGAGCAGGCGCTTTAGCTGAAATAGATAAACACTGACATGGCACTGTATGGGCCCGGGGCGCTCACTCAGCTGAACTGAAATACACACACACACACACACACACGCACTCTTTTGTTTGCCCATTCTTTCTCTCACGAGCAGATATTTTTACTTCCTCTCTCCGGCCTTCTTTGGATGCATCATACTGAGCCATTCTTGTAAATGACTGCAAACACAATGGCGCAAATGAATGCTCAATTTCACCTTTTCATACTGAGGTCATAGACTTTTGTGCAGGCTTGTGCATCGATACACACATTCACAAGCATATTTTCACACACTCTCTTCCTCTGATAAAAGTATTTCTGTTTCTTTTTCTGCCTCTCTTTCAAACACACATATAACCACTCTTCTCAGCGTAGTCTTACGCAAACAGTCCATCTAATTTGTCCACACACACACTTACCAATGCTCTCCTCATAAGGAGCAAACCAAAGAGAAATTGCCAGCGATTGTGCATAAAAACAACTACAAGATGTGTTCGGCTGAGGGTACATCTCACCCTACCATTGATTACCATGGTAATCACTCCTCCTTAACAATGATAACAATGGAAAATTGCTATAATGATATCCTTCCAAAGCAGCGGCCGCCATTTTGAGGTGGTGACAGCAAACATATGGCGCGATGTGAAGATAAGCATGGTTATGAGGCTGCTATGAGAAGAGAACAACATATCCCGGCTTTTCACCGACGCTCTCTGACAGTAGCCAACCAGTGCATTATCTTTGTTTGTCAACCGAGGTAATCTGTATTAGAGACCTCTGGCTGCACAGAGAAGAAGAGCAGGTTTCAGGCAGCACTGCTTAGGTGACACGCAGTTGGTTTGTTTTCCGTTTTAAAGGCTGCGTGGATCAGTTGTTTGATAAAAGAGGAGGTTGTCTTTTAATGTGGCTTAGTAAAATAGAGGAATTGAAAGTCCCCAAGGAATTCTGCGTGTAATATCTATCTGAATGAGTCACTCATTGAGTCATGCAATAAGTTTCTGAAAACAAGTGAAAAACCCTGCCAATGAACTGAAAGTTTTCTGGTTTCCAGCACAAATCGACTCCCAGAGTCAAGTCATTGTCTTCTTGCTTGTGGTGAGATCAGCCGTGTAGTGCCTTGTTTCAATTGTGTTTCATGCGTCAAACCCAATATGAGATTAAATGACTTGTCATGGTGGACATTTGGGGCAGGGATTGGTTTCAGTATTGATTAAAATCGAAAGTCTGTATAATTGGACAAGCTTCTCAAAATGTGTGTGCGCTTGAGAGAGACAGGGAGACAAATTGAGAGAGAGTGCGAGTGCTGCTAAGCCCTGCAGTGAAATGAGGCCAGTGTTGCTACAGGAATGGAAACTGTAACCCTAATCTCCAGATCATTCAATGTTATCACCTCATCTCCCTTTAATCCCCTGCATCACTTTTGACCCAAAATAGCCGAGCAAGTACGCAATAGGACACACTGATCATCATCCATCAGATGTCATGGGAGCAGAGAAGTTGGACTGTGTTTGATGCAGTTCAAAGCTGGAGCTGGAAACCATCCAATTTTTGTTAAAAGAACTGACTACTTTAAAAAGTATAGCACTAATTATTTCCCTAAGCTTATGCAGATAAACATTTATCTTGTTTAATCTCTCTAGTCCTCGTCTAGATCTTGTATTTGGGTTCTTCTTTCCTGGAGTTGGGACAAAAGTAGTGAAGTATAATGTGCGCTGTTGTCTTTTGGACCCATGAGTGAGGACATGATACCCCTCTGTTCTTATTGTGCTTTTTACTTTAACATAACTTAACACCCAATGGCCAGAAGAACTACACACTCAAGTTTCATGAAAAGTAAAACATCACTGTGGTGTACTACTGTACATAAGGCTCACATGTACACGTGTTGCTAAGGCATGAATGTCAAAGTACTGTTACATGTAAATCCCAGTCCCAGTTATACAATAACTACTGTTAACCAGAGGGAAACAAAAAAGAAAAAAAGGAAAGAAAAAACTGAAAAAGGTTCTTACCAAAAGTCCCACAAGAAGTCCCACAAAAAGTCCCACAAAAGTCCCACAAAAGTCCCACAAAAGTCCCACAAATCAAAAGGTCTGCTGTGCGACCTTTTGATTTGTCACAGCAGAAAAAACACAAACAGTAATGAGGCTCTATTGGCAGAAATGGAACATAATATTCATAGGTATGTTTTCATTGGGTATAATCACCTGAATATAGGAATTGTTATGTACAGACACCCAGGTTGCTTTAGATACACATTTAGAACAGGAGGGTGAGGCGAGGGGTATTCAGTTGGTTGCAGTCTGCACCACCCGATGCCACTAAATCCTACAAAGTGGTTCACCCAACCAACAGAAAATTCTTCTTTGTTATTAGCGGTATCTAGCCATGCAGATACTTTTGGTTGTGGTTGTCCAGGTCTTTAGCTATCCATCTCTTGGCCTTTTTATAGATTAAACAAACAAGATATAAGTTAGTTAGTTATTGAGCTTTAGAGGTGCTTGTAGGCAGATTTTTTTTTTTACCTTTAGACAGAGCCAGGCTAACTGTTTCCCCTGTTTCCAGTCCTTGTCCTAAGCTTAACGCACAGACAGAAACAAGAGTATTATCCATCCTCAGGTCTAACTCTTGGCAAGAACTGTTCCTTTAAGATGGAAAATGAAACATTGATCATTATTGCCTGGTGTCTCAAACATTGTTTCGATACATAACAATGGCTAACCCCTGGCTCAGTTTATCTGATGTTCTCCTCTTGAAAAACTGGAGGAGCATATAGCTGCAAGACTAAGGTGCAGACCATGGAAGTCTAACAATATGAGGATATTTATCTGCACTGCAGCATGCAGAGCTCCCAACCTCAAAGAATTTCATTAGTATTGGTTTCAGTGGAGTGGCCTCAGTGCCATGTTCTCCCTGCCAAGAACCGTTCTGGGTAGATGGAAGTGGTGCAGTGTTACAGAGCGTGTACAAACAAATACAGTAAAGTACCTGACATATTACACAGCAGCAGGCTGATGTCCGGTGAGTCAACTACAACAGAAACTTCAGTACAGCTGCAGTATTAGCAGTGGACAGAGATTTACTGTGCTGTCCCACCTCTTTGTCACGACCTTGTCACGATTTGTGATGTTTTGGAGGTGATTTATATGAACTGATGCTCTTCAAATATGAATCACAGCTTTGTCATGGCTGTGTATCTGACTGTTCAATGTAAAAGACAGTTGTTGCTTTTTCTATTCACGTTCCCACGCACTCTTCTTCAGGGAAGACTTAGCAACAACAACCGAATGTGCAGCTTTATCATCGCAGGCGACACCCACACCACATTTCTCCATTTAAAAATTGCCCACACATATTATTAGCCCCAGTGTATGAAGGAGGGATGGCTTCAGCAAGGTGGGGCCAGGGTAAAATTGTCTCCATCAGATGTCACAGTGCCCTGAGTGAGATGTTTTTCACACTGAGCACAGGAGGGTTAGGTACTGTCACATTTACATCATCTAGTGCAGTAGTTGCTTCTGGTTTTCACTTAGCTCCCCATTGCCCAGTGTGGTGGAGGGTATATTTTCACTCCTGATTGAACCTGACGTCTTAAAAGCCCTTTTCTTGCCTTTAAACATTGATCTAATGTTGGTCAACCTGCATTCGGACCACTTGTCCTGTCAACATCTCCCCCGTGGCAGTGCATTCACAATCGAGTTCATCCATGTGCATGTGTGGGCTGTGTCTCTGTCTTTATATATTTTGCCTGGAAAGACTTGAAACTATTTTTCCAGATTGAGCTTGACAAGACCACTGACCACCATGAACAAGAGAACCATCTTCCTTTTGATCTGACACACATCCAGATCAAGCAAATAACGTTTTGGCATGTGCAAACACAACCAATCTCCATTACTTTTATAGTTATGGCAAAACAAAAATACATTAATCCTTGCTTATGATCATGGCCAACATCTAATCAATTGTTCTTTGGCTCAGGACCTGTTTGTCTATCCAATTTTGTGAAAAGGAATTCATAATTTGGAGGTTCCCTTCTGACACACAGCCAGACAAACAAATATTTTTGTTATATTTTAAAATAGCTTCTTTGGCAGACATTGTACTTAAATGCAGGGCTGTAGCCAGGTGTTTGCAAATATTCCAGCACAACAACACCTTTCCAACAACATCTTCGACTAGAAACAAAAACAAAAACATTTTTTTCCATTTTATATTTATATACCTGCTCAGTTCTGTCTTCTATCTACTTACATGGTGATCTAAATGCTATTTTAAACCATTCTCCCCGCAAGCCAAGAATATAATTTTGTTAGTGATACCATATCCTGTTTATGTTTAGCTTAGAAGAGTCACTTTTTAAAATACTGACTCTAAATAATATTAGAATCAGACCTTTAAAGGAATAGTTTGCCACTTTCTGGCGGAGAGTCAGATGAGAAGATGGATACTACTGTCTAATCTGTGTGCTAAAATATGAGGCTACAGCCAGCAGGCGGTTAGCTTAGCTTAGCATAAAGATTGGAAACAGGTGGAAACAGCTGTCGGGCTGTCTAAAGATAACAACCTAGAACCTTTAAAGCTCACTGAAGATAAAAACTGAAGTGTACTAACGAAACATACAAACCGTGGTATAAATCGTCATTTAACTGTCCGCCAGAAAGCAAATGGGTTTCCCAAACGTTGAACCTTTGCTTTAAAAACTCCAAATCCCCAGAGCCAATATGAAACACATGAGGTTGATGTCTCTAATGTGAGCTAATGCCTCTGTCATAGCGCCGCATATACAACTGAGATAAGATGACGGAACATTGATGTCTTTTTCAAACATATGCATGAAATTAAGGAATGAGTCAGTTTGTTATTGTCCCATTAGGGGACAGTTTGATGGACTGTTTTGTATCTTTCCAAACAATCCTAACCTCATCTCCCTCTCACCCCCTTCCTGTCTCTCTGTATCTCTGCCTTTCCTTACAGGGGCGTATATGTAGGAAATCAGGGAAGTCCAAGAAAGCTTTCAGCCGTAAGGAAGCCGAGGCCACCTTCAAGTCCCTGGTGAAGACCCACGAGAAGTACGGCTGGGTGTCCCCGCCCGTGTCCGACGGCTGAGCGCCCCGCCACCGACCCTCAGACCCCCGCGCTAGCCGGACAAAACCCCAGCTAGCCCCGACACGCAAAACGACACACCACGCTAACTCAACAATCTCTCACCTTTCACCTTTTGCTGTTTCACTCAAGAGTTTCTTTTTTCGGTTTTGTGTGTCTGTGTTATTATTTTTTTTACCTTTTTTTTTGTGCTCATCTCCACCAAAACTCTCTGAGAGCAGACTCGCCACCATCATCGCCACTCCTCCAACAAGAAGCAACTTTCGTTCCCCTCCTTCTCACCCAGGGAGGTTCTTTCCCCCATTCTGGAAAGACCTGAGAGGGAGGTGTGTGTGTGTGTGTGTTTGTGTGTGTGTGTGTGGGTGTGTTGTGTGTGTGTATGTTTGTCACTCCATCGGACATCACCTGGGAGTGTGTGCGCGTGCATCGGAGTGTGCGTTACTGTCGGTGGATTTCCTTTTTTGCTTTGTTTTTCCTGAACGCACACCCATGCACGTGCAGTCGGATAAATCGGACAGTGTGGACTTTTCCACCCATGTGAAAGACTACTGAATGAAGGAGACTCATCCCCCTCTCCTGTCCTCGCCATTCCCCTCCTCTCTTTCTCCACCCCTCGCTCCCCTCTTCTCTACAGCACTGAACTTGCGTCACTTCCCACTGTCTCTCTCTGTAGCTGTCGGGTCATTTACATATAAATGAAGCTGTTAATGTTTAATAGACGGGCAGCACACTGGCGTTTAATACTCACTCATTCACTCCTTCATTTCCCCCTTTTCTTTTTCGACTGTGCCGTTGCTCACAGTTCAATGCAACATGAAGATTGTAATTTACATGGAGCTGTGCTCTCTCTCTCTCTTTTCTCTTTCTGTCTCTTTCTTTAGCTTGCTCGTTCACTTTGTTTCTCTTTCTTTCTCTCCGTCTCTTGTGGCTAAATTTAGAGCTCACTTTTGCATAGATGGATATTGATTTCTAATGGAGAAATAAAAAGTCACATGTTGCTTTATGCAGAGACTATGTACGATAAATAGAATGACAGTCAGTCACCTCTCTTTCTTTCTCTCTTTACTCTCATGTTATCGTGTGTGTGTGCGCGTGTGCGCGTGTAGGAGAGGAAGAAGACTGTAATTCCCATGATTTAGATACCAGATGGTACAGCTGAAGGCCAGGCCTCAGTGTGTGTGTGAGCAAGGGAGACAACCCTTTAAACAGAGAAGAATATGATTTACTGTGAATGACACTAAGGCCTAAAGGGAGTGCTGTTTTTATGGGTTTTTTTTTGTTAAATTACTCGTCTTGTTCCACTTTCTGTGTCAGCTCCTGATTATTACTACTGTAAACACGTGAGTGGTTGTGACTGAATATCTTCGTGCACATAGCCTCGTCTGTCTCTTCTCCGATCCACGTAAAGAACTTAAGGTCTGTAGAATATACGCTCCGGACGATTAGCTGCGCTCCAGACGCGCACACACACTCGAGCTCGCCCACACATCCCACACACCCACTCGTGCGTACACCTGTGGCCTTGGCGTCAGCGGTAACACGCGGGAATGGAGACAGACATGAAGGCTCGAGTGCCGCCATAGATGGAGAGGTGCTTTAAATGAGCGTACGCTTCAGAGCCCGCCTGATTGATGTCTGCTGAAAGAGAGGGAGAGGAAGAACAGAGGGAGAGGAGGGAATTGTGGGAGCTTTGATCACTACCGGCTGCTTCTGGAAATGTCAGGTGGCTTTTAAAATGGCCGAAGACAGATATTATTTGCTCTACCCGCTGTGATTACACACAGTTCCCGAGTTCCAACCTTTAAAAGGACTTTATAAATATCTAATATTAACTCTACGGCTGCAGCAACGTCGGTCTCAATCAACGGGCGCCTGCTAGCCACAGACTATCTGTCCGAGCAGTCCAGCGGGTTCCTCGTGTGTTTGTTTTGCTATCTGCCAGTTAAATGTCAGAGGGAAAGCTGCTAATTGGCCTGACATTTCAACAGAGCATCATTAGAGAAGAGCAGCTGAGAGCAGAAGGATGGAGGATGTCAAACCTCCCGCTCTGCGCTGACATTTTGTCACTTTCCACTCTTGCCCTGCTTTTTTTTCCTTTTTTAGGGGGGGTAGCAGAAAGTGGGTTAGGTGAGGAGAGACCAGGGGTATAGGAGCAGCTCAATGCCAGTCAGCTCTCAGCAGGCCCAGCCGTAATCCTGGAGCAGGATGTTTAAACCGCTGAGCCGAAGCCGAGCCGTGCTGCAAGCATGCCGCGTTTTGGATCAGTCTGCGCCACGTTTCAAAGCCCCCACCCCCCCACCTCCCTCTCGTGTTGGGTTTGTGGTCGACGACAAATGTCCGTCTGTGCGTGAGTGCATGTGTGAGCAAACATGTGTGTTACACTCCCATTATTTAAAAAAAAAAAGAAAGGAAAAAAATCATACCATCTGGTATGTGATCATGTACGAGAGCGTGTTAGTCCTCTTCGAATTTGGATAGTCAGTTCAGGGTCGATCGTATAGTGATCTCTCAGCTTGTCAGCGGAGAGAACTGTAAACTGAATTATTATTAAGACAAAATATCTCAAAAGCTGCGTGTTTGCTGGTTTCAAGAGAATAATTTTGTGATATAGTTTAGATTGGTAGTTTGCAGACACTAACTGGGTGAACTGATTATGTTGTATTATATCTGCATGTGATATGTGATTGGTAGCTAGCTACTGTATATCTTTTTTCAAGAAAAGTAAGAAAAAACATGGGGAAAAAACAAAAATGCAAATGCTTCTCTTTTCTTGTTCTTTTTTTCTTTTTTGGGTTCTGTATTGTATGTATATTTCTTTCTAAGCGTCCTACAAATGTCACATTGTGTTATATGAATGTCTGTGTTTTAATTTATTTGTGGTTTGCCAAAATGAAGATTTGAAGCATGTTGCAGGTATTGTCACAAGAAAATGAGAAGAAAAAAAAAAATCCTTACTAAGAATGATAGCCTACGTATTTGTGTGGTGGGGGAAGGTGTGTTTATTTGGGGGGATTTCAGGGAGTAAAGAAGGACAAAAGGTTGCAAAGCCTCAAGATTATAAAGGGAGTATTTCCTTCATTGGGAGTGCATCAAAGTGGAATCAAGAAAATTCCTACGCTCCCTTGAATACTCCCTAGTCCCCTCCATGATGTCACTACTGTCCCTTCCCCATTGGTCCTGCTATAGACAGTGATTTGGCTTATGGGTAATGCAGTCAACACAAAGATCTGGACTGAAAGTTCCCCAAGTCACAGATCTGGGATCAGTATGACCTCCCTATGCTTCAAATCATACTCGTAAAGGGAATGTGCACATCTGACCTGCGATCAGTTACTCTGGGCAACTTCATCCCACTCCTGACTTGAGTGTTTGGTCGAGACCGAGGTCTTAAAAGTTCAAAAGGTGAAAGGTCGTTGCAAGACCAAACAGGAATGTGCAATAAAAGTTACAGCTTATTCAAACTCCGCTGATTGGACTGTGGTTTTGTTTCATATCTGCATTATGAGCTAATGTCTCACCTGGGAACTTCTCCTGCTGCTACACATGCGTTTTAATGACCCACTTCAGGCTGCTGTGTCCTCGGCATGGCCCCTGCATTGTCCTACTTTCATTTGCTGCAGTCAATAAGACATCTACCGTCCTCAGTAAGGACAGACTGTAATCATCCGACCTCTACTCTTAGGCTTTTATCAGACTGCCTCCAGCTTGATGGAAACACAGTGTTCCCTCTCTGTGTGTGGAGTGGTCGCCTTAATCTGACACAGGCGCCTGTAAGTAGATGTGTTAAAGAGAACGAGCGTGCTCAGAGAGTGAGGTTGGAACGTAACATTCAAGCAGTTTTGTGAACTTTAAATTAGGTGCACGGTACAGAAATTACAACTTTTTCACCAACTGGGATATGGAAACCCCATTAGAATAGACCTTTTTCACAGCAGCCATTTTGACATGAAATAGCCATAATAGTCATTTTAGTATCGTTGGTAACACCTATGTTTACCCTACTATTTCATGTCAAAATGGCTGCTGTGAAAAAGGCTGCTGTAAAACATTAAAAAGAATGACGAGCAGACCACTTTTGGAAGTGTAAAACTTCCAGACCTACTGTAATCTGTCAAATATAAATACCAATTAGGATTTTGCAGACTGACTTTGACCTATTGTACTTACCGTAGTCATGCTGCCACACATGTACTAGGCTTCGCAGCAGATTATATCTGGCATTTCTGGTTTGGTAACTTTTACTTTCACTTTCGGTGAATTGGTGTAGAAATTATGGTTAATTTGGCTAATTATTATCTCTTATTTACAACGTTTTTGCCACGTTGGACTCCATCCTGACAATGTCACGTAAATAAAGCTGGTGACTGAAATGTTCTTTGTTATGGCCAAAACTATGAAAAGAAACCCAGGTAACAGCATGAACAACAGATGATGTATCACGATAATTTATAGTGTATTATGTAAGCCGTGCAGAAAGCAGCAGCAGTATGTCATACAGCTAATCGTGTCTGTCAGTGAGTCACTTTTGGTAGTGCAGCCTTCAGTCTCATCTGTCTTAAAGGGCCTACACACTATAGCCCACCCACATAGGTGATTTCACTTGTTTTACCTAATTAGAGCTCTTCTCAGGACTATGTGGGTGTGAGCAGACTGTGCTTGATTGATATCTACCTCCTAGCTATGTTCGGGCCTGTATCATCTTTATTAGTACATGGTGACATCATGTGGCTCCACCCACCTCCAACCTGTGGCGAGGACTAATCAGGTCTCTGAAAACACCTGTGTGGGTGCGCAGGGCGATTAAAATCAAGTGATGTAAGACAACTTGATTTTCTTCTAGTAAAAATAATGTGATGTAGTCTGGCGTAATTAAAGATAACGTTACCGGATGAAGCAGATTGAATAAGCTGATGTTAATCGGAAGTACCTGGATCGTTCTCACCCCAGTGACAAATACTTTTTTTAGTATTAAAGTAGTAGTAGTAGTAGTAACACATGCACTTTTCCTGAGTTGGCAAGTCACAATGCAGTGAAAAGGGCCTACAAATTCCATAATAGGAGCTAATATGCTGCGCAGTGTATCCGTTTGATCACCACAGATGTAATTAATAACATTAATGATGACTGCTATCCATTTAGGTGCTCCAGATCCAGGACCCCAGTGTTTCGCTCGCTGACATGGCCCATAAATGAAATGGAGGCATTATTAATGTTATTAGTAACACCTGTGCTTTCTCTGCTACGACGAGTCAAAATGTCTGCTGTGAAAAAAGGTCTGTTATATCCAAGTAATCAACATACATGACCTGAACAGCGATTAAAGGAGTAGTTCAGTATTTTGGGTGTCTATTATGTTTGATACCACTCTCATGTCTGTGCAGTAAATATGGATCTACAGCCAGGATCTGGTTATCTTTGCTTAACACAGCAGGTGTTAGACAACACTTAAATCAGCTGAACCATGCAAAACTAAATCAACACGCATGCACTCACCATTACGCGCACACACACCGCTATCATCATTGCTGACATATCCCAATTAATTGATCCCCGAGCACTCTTGTTTTTGTCTAGTTGATATTTCCCCGCCGCTCATTAAGGCGAGAGAGACCGACCGAGCCGTGTATGGATCACAGAGAGAAAACAAGACATTGATGACACCATTCTGAACACTCTGTGGACACCGGGGCAAGCAGAGAAGCTTCATTTTACTGATTAGTTAACACATTAAGCATACAAAAAAGCCAGTTCTCCGTGTGTGTAGGTGTACGTGTTTTGCGAGCTCTCCTGCTGGAGTGGAAGCAACAGACAAAAACAGTCATTATTCAATTGTGAGACAGCAAGACCCAATCCCCTGAAGGTTACCTTGACAAAGAAAACATCCAAAACAACCTCGGCGAGGCTCAGACAAACAGGAGGGAGAGAGACGAGAGAGAGAAAGCTAAGAGGAAGGTGACCATGACTGTGTTTATGTATTCAGGTTATTCTAAAAAAAAAAAACGACAAGCCAACCCCGGGGGGAGGCTGTGTATGTGATTTGTAAAAGCAACACGCAGCGTGATGAAATAGCGCCACAACAATCTGAGAGATGCAAGCATATGGTGCCTGTTTTTACGGACTAAGCTTAGTTGGAATGAGATTTTAATAGGGGGGAGGAAGTGGTGATAAGCTGTTTTATATGGATGCTGTCGTACCTGGAGTATTGTTTTATTCAGGATTATGGATGAAGTGGATGTAAACCTCCTAAATGCAGTCTAGCCACGTTTGTGTCTGTGGTTTGCCTTCCTTTTCAGATGAATGATAAAGTCAGAGGATACATCACTGCAACTAGTAGCACAATGGGGTGTTAGATAAGGACAGCTATAAAATAAATGGCATAGCCTGTAGATTTCTACACAGAGGTGGCTATTTACACACCTTTTATTCAGTTATTAGTTGTGTTCATTATGATATAATCAGTTATTTATTTCATTTATTTATTCATTTATTGTAAAGGAACCGTTGGAATTTGGAATATATGATTATATTCGCTATATTCGAGTTTTAGCTGAAAAGACTGTACCTACTACAATATGCAAGCTACAGCCGGGAGACGGTTAGCTTAGCATGAAGACTGGGGAAAACTAGCTAGCTTGGCTCTGTCCAAAGGCAAGAAAACCCCCAAATACCAGCACCCTAAGCTCACCAATGAACACGTAATGTCTCATTTGTTTAATACATACAAAAATTGAAATAAAATAAGTTTTAAGCTAAGCGTCTCCAGATATGAAAGTAAGATAATGATGCTAAAATGTTGTGTAGTAGTAGCATGTTACACAGCACTATCTATCCAAAGTTAGCTAGTTCAAAATCGCTAGTTTTATCTAAATTAACAGTCAAAACCACAAATGGACTCAATTTACAATGATATAATGATGAAATGAATTAGAGAAACAAAACCAACAATCTGGAAAAATATGGCATATTTAGCAAATTACCTAAATAGTTAATTAGTCCTCATCAGAAAATCAGCAGTATCAGTTGTTGTTGTTTTTGAGACAACCTGTTGTTGTCATGCAAATAATGGATGTGACATTGTTACTGCACTGTTCTCATAGTGCCACTACCAACATTTAACGTTACCAAACCTTAACCATAGAGGTAGTAGATTAAGAATTTTTGTGGTAAAATGTGTTTTATTTGAACTCACTGACAAATCACCTTTTGGGTTTTATTTTTGTCTACTTATGAAGCCTAGTTGAGTTCACAGATATCAGTATTTTTTTCCATGAATTAACTTAATTTAATAACTGATTATTCAGTACTACTGGGAAACACAGTAGTGAAGCAGGCAGTGATGGGGAAACAAAAAGGGATATAACAAGACATTGAAATAAGGCCACACAGCCTGAAGAGCAGGGGGTTAGCTTCTCCTCTCCATCTGAATTATATTAGCTTCATTAGATGAAATGTGATTTGTGAGTCTCCCATTTCCTCTGTCTTAGTCTCACTGACACACGCAAGGAGATTTCCCAGAATGTTTCTGTATGAGATCAACCATGTCGAGAGCCAGCCAGAGGACACTCGCTGCTTGCACAACACACAAACGTAAACGCCATTAGACTGACACACACACAAACACACACATCGAACGCTCTCACACGCAGAAACACTTGTCGTTCAATTTGTGACACAGTTAATGTCAAGAGGATCAGTAGAAGGAGGAAAGGGCTGTAAAAGGGTCAGAGAAGAAAAACCAGAAGGGCCAGAAACCTCTGGGGAGAAACCATCAAAAAGCCTGTGTTGAATTATAGATCCTTCCTCCCGCCCCATACATAAGTCAATACGTGATGCATATAGCTGTCTTTCAAAATGCCTGAAATACTGGAGGTGCTTTTGCATCGATGACGTATGGATCGCATTCCCACAGGATGATGTACAATGATGCCTCTCCTCAAAAGCAGGACAAGAAATAATAGTATATATTGTGTGTATACGTGATGCCATAGCTACAGCGCAGATGAAGCTTTACTGTGCAGAGTGGGGGGACACTGGAGATGTGATTTCATTCTATACAGGCTGCATGCATTATGCATTCACGCCCAACACACTGGTGTCTCACTTGGAAAGATGGTGTTAAATAATGAATTTGTTTTCCCTGTTGATAAACAGATGTATAGATAAGATGAACTGTGTGTATGTGTGTGGGGAGATTTGCATATAGATGTGCATGTATGTGAATAACCGTGGCCATCAAAAATGTATTCTGCTCCATGAGCAAACATTTGCCAGATGTATTGAGCTGTGTGACCAATGGGAGCTGTTGGCAGCAGTCAAAATAAGTGGAGCTCTATCAGAGATAATTCAGCATAGATGCTGTCGTTTACTAAGCTAGGTGGCTAATTTTGGTGTACGTTATGCCTTTTGACGCTGATACTGATACATGGCAATTTTCTCCCATACAGAGTTCTGCACAGCATCT